TGTTTATTTTTTTGTTTGCTGTCATTTGGATAAGACTTTTACATTTTGTAATTCTTTTTAATCTTGTGGGTATGTTGTATGTTGTGTATGATCATTTGGCCTCCTTTCCAGGTGCTTTCAGAGGACCAAGGTGCTGTATGGGTCCTTCATTGTGGATAGCTTTTGTGTGGTGGCTTTCTCAGATGCTGCTTCTTGTAGCAATGTATTCAATGTATGAGCCAACACTCTATCTACTGTTTGGCTGAGGGTGTGGAAGTCTCATCACATGCACTAGCACTCAGCCCTTCTGGCAGCAGGTGTTTTATTTGTTGGTGGAGTTCAAGCTCTAGTCCAGTAGGTGGCACTTATGAGTAAGAGCTGGCCCACCCACAGGTAGATTGTTGGAGCATGCTGAGGTCTTTGGGGAAGGAGCAGTGGGGGAAGTGCACCAGCTCCAGGAATGCCAACTGCTTCCCGTATCACACCATGTCACAGGGCTCACAAACTTCAGTTCATAAAGACTTTTTCCTTTGGTTCCCAGCTGCAATGTGGCTATGGGCTACTGATATACCATTTTGGCAGCTACCACTAAGATGGGCTTGGGGCAGAGCCTCTTCCTCCAGTCCAGAGCGGACAACTCTGTGGCTTGTCTGTCCTCCATTGCCAGGATGCTGCTGTTTTGTGTAGGGTCAGGGAGTTGGGCCCTGCCCTTTGTGCAAGCCCAAGCACCACAGGCTCACTTTCAGCAAGTGTGGAGTCACTACAAAAAGTGTGATAAGTGCTTTCTCCAGGTGCACATATACCAGCCCCCAGCCAGGAGAACTACTACTGCATCCTCAACAGTGCTAAAGGTGGCAAGGGGCGGATGATTCCCTTTCTACAACCCTTCCTAATCATCAGTTCTACCCCCTTCACCAATTGGTGCCACTTCCTTCATTTCCTTTGTCCCAAGGGAGACTTTAGTGGGCTGTGCTCCCCATTCCCTTCAAGGCAGCCCACTAAGGGTGAGATCTCCAGGGCTCCCACAGCTCCACAGGGACCCACCAGCCCCCTGTGTTTGCCAGAGACAGAGTGGGTTGTGGGGTATGTTTGTGGGGAATCTCGTGGTGTGGTGACTCAAGGGCGGAGATTCCCTGGGCAGGGCAGTGTCCCACCACAGGTGCACAACCAGCATGACTCAGTTCGGCCATGTCAGTTCAGGTCTGAGGGGAGTATAGGCATGCTTAACATGAGCTGGCCACTTGGTTCTCTGCCCCTGGAAAATTTCCCCAAGTCACCACTGACAGCATTGCCCTTGATCTAGGGGGGAGAAGGGCTCCCCAACAGTTTGACAGTCAGTGAATTGTTCCAGGGGTGAAGGGAGCAGAGAAACACTCCCACTACCCCTTACCAAAGGGTTCTGAGTTCCTCAGGGGTCAATCTCTGCCAGACCCTTGCTGCTTTTTTTTTCCCTGTATCTCAGCTTTTTCTCCTGGGCACTCTGACAGGTCCTGGATCTCTTCTGTCAGTTTTTCATTTGGAACTTGTCCATTCACAGGTAACGTTGATCTTTCTGAAAAGTTCTGGCATCTGATGTCACTAGACAGGCATCTTGAAAACCAGAAGCTTGATGGTAACTGTTATAGAACAAAGTGAACACACTCAATGCTACTGAACTGTATACGTAAAATAGGTTAAAACAGTAAATTTTATGTTATGTATATCTCACGAAACACACAAAAAATCAAATCCTGCTCTGCCTATACCCAGGAATGGTCTTCCATTGTCCCTGGGGTGTTGATATAATGATCAGTCTTAATGCTTTGAGAGAAGTCAATTCTGTTATCCCTTTCTAAAGCCGCTCTTTCAACAGTGGAGAGGTGAAAACAAGAATATTACTTAGGAATGCCTTCTGTTTGTGTAGCACTTTATGTTTGAAGGAAGGCTTTTATGTGGGTAATTCATTCAATCCTCATAGCAGGCTTGTAAGGTCGGTAGTGTTGCTCCATTTTAATTGATGGAAAAAAGTGAAGCCTGAGAGATTAAATTGTCCATGATTACAGGGCTGTTAAAGGTTGCAGAGGTTCAAATATTTATCTTCTGACTCTGTAGCCATTGATTTCCCAAAGTAGAGAAATAATTGTCAACTTACTATGAGCTTTACATTTAAAATGCCAAAAACTAGGTAATATTCTTGTTAAACTGAATAAAGAAAAGAAAAAGAAAAATAGCATCATTAACTTCCCAGTGACCAAGGAATAATGATTATGCTGAATTTATGCTCTAAATCCTATTAACATATTTGTGGCTTTTTATACTGCTCTATTTTCAAACTTTGGTCACGTTTAAATTCTGCTTGGCTCTTTGTATTTTTAGACTTTAGCTTCTGAAAATATGCTCTAATTTAGGGTTGGGGGAGCTTTTCCCCAAAACTTACTGTTTTCAGTCATAGCTATTCAAATTTTCATCTAAATTTTCAAAATAAATATATGATTCCAATAAAAATAAGTAGCCAGGTTGTTCTCTCGTTGTTATGCAAGAACTATTTCACTTTAGGTCTTAAATTTCATTTTTTATTGCTCTCCGTGGAGTGGATGGTTAATGTAAATGGAAGAAACCTGGCATCACACCATCATTGGTCTTAGTGACTTTATGAGTTCCCCCTAGAGCAAATAGCTGGGTCAGTGCAACCTCCCAGTTCTCAGCATGCAGCTAGCATTCATTTTCCTTTGAAGCCTGCCATGGATAAGTCAACTCAGAGCCTCAAGTTCTCTGCTTCAGAATGCTGACCTAGTAGTTTTCTCTGTTGCTGGGAAGATGTGGTACTGTATGTGTCTCATGCGTCCATGTGAAGAGACCCCCAAACAGGCTTTGTGTGAGCAACAAGGCTGTTTATTTCACCTGGTTGCAGGCAGGCTGAGTCCGAAAAAGGAGTCAACAAAAGGTGGTGGATTATCATTAGTTCTTACAGGTTTTGGGATAGGCGGTGGAGTTAGGAGCAATGTTTTGCAGGCAGGGTTTGGATCTCACAAAGTACATTCTCAAGGGTGGGGGAGATTATAAAGTACATTGATCAGTTAGGTTGGGGCAGAAATAAATCACAATGGTGGAATGTCATCAGTTAAGGCTATTTTCACTTTTGTGGATCTTTAGTTACTTCAGTCCATCTGGATGTATATGTGCAGGTCACTGGGGATATGATGGCTTAGCTTGGGCTCAGAGGCCTGACAGTATGGAAGAGGGGTGGCATTGATACCCCATCACTGTGAACAAGCCTCCCTTAATTTATTAACTGATAACATAAATAACACTTCCTAAGGCAATATGCAACAGATTTCTCACTGTGGTAGTATTCTGTGAAAGAAATTGAGATTTCCCACTCCTAGGTCCTTCCCTCTGTACAGAACCTGTAAAGTCTTCACCGACAGGTTACACATTGAACATTCAAAGAGACGGCCCCTCTGTTTCCTCTTTCAAGTTGTTTCAGCTACTGTGAGGTGAAAATACTGTACAGTCCAGCTTACCGTTGCATTTACTGCACATATTCTGAATTCAGGTCCCTCACCTCATATACGTGAAACTCTTTGGAAGCATTCACTGCACTTTAAAAAGTTTGCAGCATGTTGGGACTCTCTTCTCTTGTGTTTTGCCATAAAATTCATAAGCCAGGGTTCCTTGTGCTGAGTGCAATGGAAAAATGAAGTACTTTCATAAAACATGACTCACACCTATAATTTAGGCAACACTCCGGAAGCTTTACCCATGTATCTGGCTTATTGCTTCCATTCCCGTAGCTTACATTTATTAAGCACCTACTCTGTGTCAGAAACTATGCTGAGTATTTCATGTGTACTACGTTATTTAATGCACATCATAGACCTATGTGGTGGCTACTAACTTATTCTCATTAAAAAAAAAAAAAAAAAAAAAAACCTGAAATGTAAAGAGATTAAGCAGGCACATAGTGAGTAAGTGGCTTATGTCAACTCTTTCTTTCTTTCAGTACAGTGTCAATTGTACTGCTGTAACTCAAATAGATCATTGTATTACCTTTTACAATCCCAAGTTAAAGAATTTCCAGAATCAGGTTTGACATCTCCTATCAGTGCCTTACACACTTTAATATTCTCTTCTCTCAGGAGGGGGAGGTTCCAATTTTCATATTATATTCGTATGTTTTACATCTATCATTATTTTCCTCTCAGCTTTCTCTTCTGCATGATTCAAACAAATAATAGCAGACAAATTCTTGTTAATATTCTTCCAAGATGGTGCTTTCTAACGTCTCAGTTACTTATGTTTCTTTCAACTCAGACTTTATTTGATTGCTCTATATTCTACTAAGGAGTGAATGATACAAAGCAGATACTCATTATTTGTGATTACGAACAGACAGCAAAAAAATCAATGGCAAACAAAAATGGAAAGTTGCCTCATGTTTTGAATGAGACAGACTTTTATTTTTAATGCTGATTAAAACATAAAGAAATGGTAATTAAAACATAGAGAAGAATATTATGAGGACAAGCCTGTTTTTTAGAGAGGAGCTTGGTTTCTTTTTGTTCTGACATTTGTGTAATTTCAACAAAATATATTTCAACCCATTAAGCATTAATTGAATGAGACAAGTATTTATTGAATATCTACTTTGTTCTCAGAATTTATGAAGATTATAGACTCTGTATTAAAAACTGGACCCTGCCCTGAAGAGCTAGAAATTTTGTGAATGAGAGAAGACAAACCTAAATATAATTATATCCAAGGCAGTTCATATTAAATGAACTTCTACCCTTTCTTTCAGTTCTTTAGCAATATCTGACAATCTGTTCACTAAAACTTCTCTTTAATCTGTCTTCCTCTTCAGAGAAGTTTGATTTTGAATTTCAGAAATGCCTACTTTATGCTTTAAAGATTAGAATAAGTTTTTCCTCCATTTATTGCTTGATTATTGTGATCAATTCTTTAGTTTGAATTGCAATCCTGAGAGATGCTTGCCTCCTACCCACTTTAAGATGCATCTTTATGATCCTCTTATGCCACAGAGTCATCAGAAATTGGGCCTTCCCTCGTGATTCACACCACTGTCCCATTTGGAGTTACATACTTGGAACACAGCATTGAGGATGTGCAGGAGTTAATCTTCCAGCAGCTGGAAAACATTTTGCCAGGTTTGCCTCAGCCAATTGCTACCAAATGCCAAAAATGGAGACATTCACAGGTAATCAACTAATCCAGTGGTCTAAGCACAACAATTTTCTTAATAGGCTAACAGAACTGATGTTACTTCTTTATCTTTTGCATTCTCTAGTAAAAAAAATTAACTATGTGATCTTTGGAGCAAACATGTGTTTGCCCAACACATAAATATAACTTCTGCGGGTTTTATTGTCCTGCTGTTTCTCAACAAGAAGTGCATACAATGTTCACCAATGTTATCTTCAAATTCTATCTCAAGACTTACAAACCTTGATATTCTGAGGTCTTCTCTTCAGACAAGGCAGCTTATATCTCCAAATGCAGCTGTTTCTTTGGGCTTCTTCTATGTCAGTACTGTGGATACTTAGAAACCACTATAACTTCCCAAAATTTTGCAATATGTCAAATTAACCTTGTAAGTGTATTTTGCTACCACAATTTTCATTTTTATTAAGTTTCCACTTTGGTTTTGACTGCTGCCAGCTGAGCTCTCTGTGGGAGAGAGATAAGTACCTGCATAGGACAGCTAGTTGAGCTGTTTTTCAGGGTTAGATTAAACCTGCTGATCACTCTACTAGTTCAAACTTAAAGCTCCTTATACTAAGTAAATGTTGACTTTTTCTGAAAATTTCTGCATATTTCAATGGAAGTGAGTATTCGTAGAAAAAGTCTTTTGATCCGTAAACTCAGTAGTGAAGTCATTTAGGGGACAATGAAGCAAAGGGCAGATACAGGAGAAAAAGCAGTGAGTTTTCCATTTTTTTCCTGGGATTTCTGAGCTTGTTGACAAACTGATTTACCATCCCTATTGGTTATCCAAGCTGTGAAGCCTTTAGAAAAAGTGGTGTTGTGGGAAATTGCAGTTGGTTTTGTATATTCTAAAGGCTTTCCAAAATCAGAGGAAATAGTAAATTACTTCCTAAAATATTGCAGCAGGTCTATGTTTTACTCTTATCTTCTCAAGTTAAATTATACAGTGAACCTTTGGGAAAATATTTACTTAAGCATGTCATGGTCACTTTTGAAGACTTTACTTTTTCCTTTTAAAAGCATTGAAAAATCTAAATAGCTATTCTCTTTAAGTGATATTGAACTCAATTTTAAGTTAGCTTGAATAAGAAAACAGGGAAATAATCTTGTTGATACATTTTGAAGCTAGATATGTTACACATCAGGTCGCTTTGTGATTTATAAATACTCCTTTAAAAGAAACATTCGTTTATGAGGTTTCCTCTCATGCCTTTCTTGTAATTTATTAATAAGCTGAAAAAGTGGGTTTAAAAATCTACTTATTTCTTAATATTTGATGTGTTAATAAAAATAGATTTGTCCTAACCACAAAATGGCCTAATCAAAGTTGTGCAATATCACAAAATTTAATAAAAATCTTTGAACACAATGTACCTCCAAACCCTAGCAATGATTTTGTTACAATTTGGATGTTGAAATTATTTCACTATATTTACAACTCTGAAGTCATGAAGTCTACATTGGCTGCAAAACCTGAAAAGGAGTAAGTTATCATGCAGACTTAGAAGTTTGCATGTTCCACTATTCATATACTTCTCATAGTACCTTGAGGATCATTTTACAGAACATAACATTCATTTATGGTAGAAATGTGGGAGGGTAGGGGACATATTAGAAATCTCTATACCTTCCTCTCAGTTTTGCTATGAACCTAAAACTGTTCTGAAAAAAAAAAACAAGTGAAGTCAATTTAAAAATAGAAAAAAATCAAATTAAAATGAATCTAGTGGTAAAGATAAACCCTAAATAGATTATTTTAAATATATATTTTTTAAAAGCAGTCTTATGAGTTTGTTAGTTTTAGAAAAACTATAGTGATGAGCACATGAAGCCTCACAGAGGTGAAATAACTTCCTTAAATCCCCACAGGTAATAATGATGAAACCAGTCTACCTGCCTCTCAAGTCCTTCCATCCTCTTCACCCACCTTATATTTCCTGTTGTTGTTGTAACAAATTCTCAAAAACTTGGTAGTGGGAAACAACACAAATTTATTATCTTACATTCCTGGAGGTAAGAGTCGAAAATGGGTCTCACTGGAATAAAATCCAGGTGTGGCCAGGGCTGCATTCCTTTCTAGAGGCCCTAGGAGAGAATCCATTTTCTTGCCTTTATCATCTTCTAGAAACTGCCCACATTCCTCAGCTTGAGGACCCTCCGATCTTCAAAGCCAGCAACAGCAGGTCAAATCCTTCTTCCACTCTGACCTTTTCTTCTACCTCACTCTTGTGATGACATTAGGCCCACCTGTGTGATCTAGAATACTTACGCCATCTCAGGTTCAGCTGACTCATACTTTTAATCCATCTGCAACCTGAAATCTTCCTTTCCATTGACATAACATATTTGTAGGTTCCAGGGATTAAGACATGGATGTTTGTGATAGGGGCATTACTTCTGCCTGCCACACCCTCCTTTCTCCCAAATCCCCTGATGGATCCCCTTAATGAGGCATTATTTCCCTCTTCCTCATAAAACCTCTGGAGAGAGCATCAGCCCTGTAAGACTCAAGCCACCCTAAGGGAGCAGCTGCTATCTGCAAGAGAAAAGAGGAGTATTTTGTGTGGGGACAGTTTCTGATTTCCTTGGTGTTGCTCTCCCAAGCCTAGTGCTGTTCCTAATGTCGCATATCCATATCCACAATTGCAGCAGTGGGGTAAAAAATGTTTTCTCATGTATTCATTTGGTAACTCATTTATTCAATAAGCATTTAATGAATGCCTACAATATGCCTAGTACTCTGCTCAGGAAACCCTAGAGACTAATATTTGCTGACGGCCTTCTCCTAAGACTCTAAATTGAAGTTTGTCTTGGGTAAGATAATGGTGCATTCTTGTGGGTATTGCTCTTAGGAAAGAGGCAGGTGAAGAAAGAAGGCATTTTTTGAAAGACTTAGGAGCTGTTTCTGTGCATCCCATTTTTAATTTGAATAAAGCACTTGAGTAGGTGGTTCAAACAAACAGAAAAGCAATGGCAGATTTTTTGTGGTTCTCAGTTCCTCCCTTTTGCAGCTATTTGCCTTCCATAATTTAAATGTTTAGCCAGTTAATATGACTTGATGCTTAGTCGGTTATGCATTGAATTAAGGTTTCTGTAACAAGTATGATATATTAACTCTTTCACTAGAAGCAGAATTACTGAAAATGTCTTTCCATGTACCTTGACAGGGGACATTTAATCAGTTTGATAACCCTGATACTCTGACCATTATTTTATGCTGTGCTTTCCTTCGTTTCAGTGTCTAGCATGATGTCCTTCTCAAACTATGGTAAATTTCTGCATTCAGGTTTAGCTCTAATTTTCCCCATCTTTCTTCAATTCCAGAAAATGTTAGTGGCCCTTTTCCTTACTTTATTTAGCACTGTCATGATTACTTTGTTTTTTAGTCTCCAAATGTACATTCAGATACCAAAGAAATCAGGAGAGGAACTTAGGGGGAGGAAATGAATGAATACATTGAAATTCAATATCTTTGGAAAAATAAATGGATGTGGATGTGGACTACCTTGTAAGCTTGTACAGTACAATTAGAAATCAGTTATCTTCTATAGTTATATATCTTCATTTAATACTTTGCCCTGAGCTTGTACCTTTTCTCTTTCTTTTCTTTTCTTTTGTTTTTTTGTTTTGTTTTGTTTTTTTCAGAGGGAGGATCTAACTCTGTCACTCAGGTTGGAGTGCAGTACATGATCAGAGCTGACTACAGCAGCCTGCCTCAAACTTCTTAGCTCAAGTGATCCTCTCACCTCAGCCTCCTGAGTAACTGGGATTACAGGTGCACACTACTGTTCCTGGTTAATTTTTTAAAATGTTTGTAGTCACGGGGTCTTGCTATGTTGTCCAGGCTGGTCTCAAACTCCAGGACTCAAGTGATCTGCCTGCCTTGGTCTCCCAAAAGTGCTGGGATTATAAGCATGAGCCACCACACCTGGCCACAAACAGTATTTAAAATAACTCCAATCTTTACTGGTGTCTCTTATAGAACTTTAAAGAATTTCCAAAATTTATCATTCACAACTCTTTTGGAAAGCTCTCCTCATTCCTTGTATGACCCTCTTATGAAAACTCCTTTGAATCCTCTCTTTGCTCCCTTGATAACCTACAGAAACTTTTGCTGACAATCAACCATGTAGGCTTATAATTTTTTCTTTCCTTTCTTCAACCTTCCATTCACATTCTTCACTTTTGACTCTATCCTTTCATTCCCCTCCCACCTCTTAAACAAGGAAATCTTTGCCCTTTTCAGTAAAAGTTTCCATTTGGTTCCTTCGGGCCTTTTCCAGCTGATTACCTTAGTTACCCATAGTACTGCTAGGTGTTAAAAGGAGTAAGAGAGAAAAGGGGAAATGGGCAATGGCTGAAGGCCAGAATTTTTCTTACAGATTTTGTTTGGTGGAGGAAGTGGGTGTGCACACAGAAGAGCTTGAGACCACCCGTACGCTTACATTATTCCCTCATGAAATTAATTTCTGGTGAGTAATAGTGTCTAATTTCAGCATTGAAAGGTCAGGTGGTAATTGATATTTTAATTTTTTCTTGCTTTTTCCAATGCATTTTCTTTTTCTTTTTCTTATTTTTTAACTTTTAAGCTCAGGGGTACACGTGCAGGTTCTTTGTATGGGTAAATTTGTATCATAGGGGTTTGTTGTACAGATTATTTTATCACCCAAGTATTAAGCCTAGTACCCATTATTTCTCCTAATCCTCTCCGTTCTCCCACCCTATACCCTCCACCCTCTGATAGGCCCTAGGGTGTGTTGCTCCTCTCTATGCGTCCATGTGTTCTCATCATTTAGCTCCCACTTATAAGTGAGAACATGCAGTATGTGGTTTTCTGTTCCCGCATTAGTTTGCTAAGGATAATGGCCCCCAGCTCCATCCATGTTTTCCTGCAAAGGACATGATCCCATTCTTTTTTATAGCTGCATAGTGTTCCATGATGTATATGTATCACCTTTTCTTTATCCAGTCTATTATTGATGGGAATTTAGG